TCCAGCCTAGGCAACAAAGCAAGACTCCGTCTCAAAAAAAAAAGAAAACAGGAGTTACTATGCTAATTTTAGACAGAACAGACATCAGTGCAAGGAAAGTTATCAGGGTTAAAGGGGGACATTATATAAAGACAAAGGACCCAATTCTTCAAGAAGCCATAACAATCCTTAATGTGTATGCCACCTAATAACAAAGCATCAAAATTAATGAGACAAAAACTTATAAAACTGCAAAGAGAAATACATAAATCCACGATTTAGTTAGAGACTCCAACACCCCTCTATCAGACCCAGCAAGGAGAAAATCAGTTAAGGACAGTTGAACTCAGCAGCACTATCCGTCAACTGGATAGAACTAACATCTGTAGGCTACTTTATCCAAAAGCAGCAGAATACACATTATTCTCAAGCTCATATAAAATATTCTCCAGGATAGATCGCATTCTTGGCCATAAAACACACCTTAACAAATGTAAGAGAAGAGAAATCACACAATATGTGTTCTCAGACCACAAACAAATTAAACTAGAAATCAGTAACAGAAAGATAACTGGAAAATCCCAATAGGTGTGAAGATTAAACAACACACTTCTAAGTAACATGTGGGTCAAGGAAGAAACTTCAAAAGAAATTAAAACTTGTTTTACAGTCTTTTTCAGAGGATGGAAACAGAGGTAATACTTTCTAACTCTATTTTATTAGTTATTATTATTACTGCTGTCTCTTATACACATCTAGATGTGTATAAGAGACAGCTCTCATTCATTGCTGATGGGAATGCAAAGTGGTGCAGCGACTTTAGAATTCCGCTTGACAGTTTCTTAAGAAAATGAAACACACCCTTACCACATGATCCAGCAGTCATACTATCCAGTATTTACCCAAAGAAGTTGAAAACTTATATTCACACAAAAATCTGTACGTGGATGTTCATAGCGGCTTTATTCTTCATTGCCAAAACTTGGAGGCAACAAAGAAATCTTCAGTAGCTGAATGGATAAACCGACTCTGGTAATCCAGATGATGGAATATTAGTCAGTGCTAAAAGGAAATGAGACTTCAAGCCATAAAAAGACATGGAAGACCCTTAAATGCATATTCCTAAGTTAAAGAAGCCAAGGTGAAAAGGTGACATACGTATGATTCCAACTATATGACATTCTGGAAAATGTAAAACTGTGGAGACAGTAAAAA